TGGTAAATTTACTCCTGCCTCTGTTAGTCAGGATCTATCAATCACACTGAAAAGCCCTAAACAATTCTAACTTACAAAATGGGAATAGGAAACAGGCAGGATCCATTTTGTTACTATTCACTAAAATTCTTTGCCTATTCTTATTCCTCATATTGCTTTAGGAAACTCTGTTGAAGTTTCTTTAAGGAAGGAGCAATTAGCTTCAGGTATGCTACTCCTTTTGTATACTGTCTGGAGTTTAGTAGCTCTGTTCAAGGCCAGGCAAAAGCACGTGTGAGATAAATATGACAACTGGTCTATTTTTCCTGCAGTGATAAACCCAGTTAAAAGCAACAATGCTGTCTTAAATCAATGTGCATTGAAGACACAGTAGCATTGTTAGTATTTGCTTTCATGTGCATAACCAGTCCCTTTGAAGTTGAGCAGCCGTGGCATTTACAATAAAGTATGGGCAAAGAAAAGTTTCTCTCCATTTCCTCTAACAAATTAACTATCCTCACTTTATAATCCCTTCATTTCTCACTTTGTTAACTTTATATGAGAGCCCGTTTCATGAGGACTTACTTAAAAAGAATACTTTAAAAGAATTACCTGAATAGAATGTTATAACCATGAAAATAAGGTAATATTTCTCAGACATTGGTATATGCTCTGTTTTTTCTGCTTTCCTTGCTCTTTTACTATGGACCAACTTTGTTAGTATTATTTTGGTAGCAGCTTATATGTTTTCTTCTCATCTCTATTTCTTGGGATGCTCATTAAAATACCTAATGGCCTGATGGCTACATTCAGCCCCATGCATTTGTAAAGTCTAAATTAGGTCCACCAGATAGCTTACAGTTTCGTTTCTATGGAAGAAAAGCAGCACTGGAAGTAATTGAAAACAAACAAACAAACAAACAAAACAACAACAAACCAACACTTCCAGAGAGGAATATTTCTATGGAAGAAATGTAATGTTGCTTGATCCAGTTGGAAGTATCAGCAAAGACTCCTGTCCCTTTTTCTGAAAAAGAAGACTCAGAAACAGGTCCAAAACAGAACTTCCCCCACTTTTCTGGTCATCTGTACATCCATCCTCCTCATGCTCAGGATATGGCACCTTATATGAACCTCCTGGCTCACATGCCTCATGGGCAGTAAGGTTGGGCATAGGGGTAGACCTCTGGCATTTTTAGCTTGCACAAGAGACACACTGCATGTTTCTTGACATAACTTGCCAAAAATTTTTCATGCTGTCCTTGTCTTAATCCAAGGTAGATACTTTGGATCAGGAATGCCACCTAGTCTACAAAAGATCAGAAGTAATGAACTCTGACTTCTGTTCACGTTATGTTTCCTTGAACTGCTATGACTAAACTATACTCAAAAGATAAAATATGTCTTCCAGACTTATAAAAAACAAAACAATCCAGAAAAAACCAAACCTCTTCCATTATCAACACTCTGCTCACCCCAGCCCCAGAACCTCATCTGCTCAGGGCACATACCTGCTGTAGCAGCAGTGCAGGATGCAGCCAGTACCCCATATCCATCAGTACTGCAGGACTGAAGGTAGAAAAAAACCTACTGTTTAGAAGGTGGGCCAGCAAAATATTTAAATCAGGAAGCTCAGTTGCAGTCAGACAACTGTCTGGGAGTGAGGTAATTTACAGGAGCTGACAGAGCCTGGAGTCAGCATTGGTAGCAATTTTCCCTTCTGGCTGCTTCCATAAAATCAAGGCAGCTGTGATGCCTATTGCCTGCCCTCCTGAACCCCTCAGGGTTTCTGGAGTCTTCTCACAAGCATATAAGGAGTTGTTGCTACAGTGATTATCCCTTATCTGTCAGCATCCTGTAATCAAGAGGGTATTTGATTTGTATTTGTCTATGTACAGACACAGATCACTGAAAGAAATCAGTTTTCTTATTTCAGTTATCATACAGATGACTATAGGCACATGGAGGGGGTTGTTCAGTTTAATTTGTGGGTTCATATGTTTACAAAGAAGCTGAGCCCAAGCAGAAGTCTGTTCTTAACTCTACCATAGTTCTTCATTGTAAGATCATATCCCAGCAACTAAACCTGACAGCAGCAATATGAGCACCAACAGATGAGGTGGGCTTCTCTCCAAATGTGCAGAAAAAAATAAGAAAACAAAATGCCCAAACCAAATAAGCAACTATTGGGAAAAATCAGCAATTCTGTCCATCTGTTATGGTACATAACAGACAGATGCCCATCTTCTAGCTGTTTCTTTCTTTTTCCTTGGTGTCTTTCATAATTCCTTGTCTCTCCCCCTTCTTTCCACTGGACTTTTTGTTCTTTACTTTTATAAGTTCAGCAATCACACCAGCCATGACTCCTCCTGTGATTTTTCATAACCTATTATGCCAGTTTTCTAGTGGCTACTTTGCCTCCAGCTTAGAAAACCATACTATATTACCACATTATAGTTAGTTCCCTATCAGTTTAATATATTCAGTTAATATTTCCATTAAACTTAGTAAGTATTTACTTAACATATTTTTAGAAAAAAGAAATAACAGGGCATGTACTTCTAAGTTGCCTTGGTTATCATGATAGGCATGAAGCTCAGGGGTTGGACTATACTAAACTTTCACAAAAATGCAGTAATTTCTTTGAAGTGTGCTCTCTGGAGTAACTTACTGGTGTAAGAAAGTAGAATGTAAATATTAAAAACAAGGAAAGATAACTATATGAAGTAGACATGGGTAAGTTTTGGGGTGCAGCAGATAAATCCATGCTATTCTGATGAAGCAGTCAAATTATCTCATTGCCAACCTGGAAAGATCAAGACAGTAGGGGAGCTAGAACAGAAGTCCAACCCAACAACAAGTGTTAGTGCACTGCTCATGCTGATTGATGTAGCTCCACAGTAAGACACTGCTTAATGACTGCTGCAGGTGCAGTTACCTGCAGAAGATGGTGGATGTGATTTTAGTTAAAAACTAGCTCCTTCCTTGTCTAGCTGTTCTTATCATAGAATCACAGAATGGTTTGGATTGAAGGGGACCTGGAAAGGTCATCTAGTCTAACTCCTGTGCAATGAGCAGGGCCATCTTCAACTCAGGTTGCTCACAGGCCCATCCAATTTGACCCTGAACGTTTCCAGGGATGGGGCACCCACCATCTCTTGGGGCAATCCATTCCAGTGTTCCAGCACTCATTGTAAAAAATTTCTTCCTTATATCTAGTCGAAATCTACCTGCTTTTAGATTAAAACCACTACTCCTTGTCCTACTGCTACAGGTCCTACTAAAAAGCCTGTCCCATTTTTCTTGTAAGGCCACTTTAAATACTGAAAGGCCACAATAAGGTCTCCCCAGAGCCTTCTCCAGGCTGAACAATCCTAACTCTTTCAGCCTTTTCTTAGAGGTGCTCAAGCCCTTTGACCTCTTCATGGTCCTCCTCTGGATTTGATCCAACAGGTCTACATCCTTACATCTTTCTTATGTTGGAGGTCTCAGATCTGGATGCATTACTCCAAGTGGGGTTTCACCAGAGCAGAGTAGAGGGGAAGAATCACAGGTTCATGCTGCAGTCAAGACAGCAAGTCGAGTTAATCATCCTGAGACATATCTTTCAGCCAGATCACAAAAGGCAAGCTAATAATGCAGATTAACAGACCAAAATACCAGTATTAAGTTTGACCTGTCAGTAGAATCATGCCCCTAAGAACTGCTCAAGTGAAACACAGTTCGTTTCTATGCGTAAAATGATAAAAGATCCCTCCATCAAAGGCATGTTGTTCAGACCAAGGCAGGGCAATTTTGGGAATAAACCTGGAAGTGAGACGACTCCAAGGCTTCCTATCAGAAAGGTAGTGTCACACCTCCTATAGCTGTCACTGCTAAAGAATAGTGAGTACAGCAAGATGTTCTCTGCCCCACACAATACAGTTCATGGATTTCAACCTCCTACTGAGGTACAGTGTTTGAATGCAGTGAGACAAGAATGTCCTCTCTCATGTTAGAGACAGTGAAGTTGACAGAGCATTTTAATAGATGGAATACACTGATCATGTTTTGTTGTTGTTTTTTAAATAAAACCCAAAACCAGTAGAAACAAAGTTGATGGATTTGAAAAGCATCAATTAGTTGCTCTGTTCGTGCATCCCAGTATTCAGTTTATCCCCTAGTGTAGCTCACTGTTCTGAGTTCTCTGAGAGGTGTTACTTGTGTATTATGACATACAGTAATTATCCCCTCAACACTGCCTGCCAGGAGGTGGTGTAATACACAGGATGAGCTGCACGATTACTGGCTGCCAGGAGCGTACACAACGGCAATCCAACTTTTATCACTCCACTAATGTGTAACTAGCTTTACTGTCGGAATGGACTCTAGGTGACTCCCTGGGATGAAAACACTGACTAGCACCTCCATTGGCCCAACTCTGGCTACTGCATAGTTCAAAGACTAACAAAAGTAGCAGAGTCTCTCACATTTAACATTTGTAAGCAGACTTGTAGTGGTTGAATGATATGGTATTTCATCCCAGACTGAATGACAAGTTACATTTTCCCTTTGTTAAGTTGGTTTTCATTTTAATTAATAATTTATTAAAAAGTCTGTTCTTTCCTCTGACGAGACTGGATTCCCTGAATGGGTGGCACAGCCATTTAGCTGAAGTTTACCAGCATTTCAAGTACAGCATCAAATCATCAGAGCGTGACCTCCTTAGAGAGGTCTTGACTACCCTAAGAAATTTACTGCCAAATATAGAGCAGTATGGTGAATATATTCTCCCAGGGAATCCCAGTGCACCTGCTCAGGTACATATGTTAATCTTAGAATAAAGCTAGCTTTACAATATTTGCCTCTTTTTTGTAGTTTACTGTGATAGCTACTTGTCAGCCTAGCTGTCCATTTCCATTTGAGATTTCACTGAAATTGTGGGCAGAACTGACAGGCACCTTCCCTCTTTTGTTCCACCAGCAGTTCAGTGTCATTCCTTTAAGGCAATATGAAAACAGCAGCACTCCTAAACAAATGAAAACAAATGTTTTATTTACAGGAAAAAATCTGTACACTGTGCATACATAAAAATATACAAAATCATAATAGAAAATATAAAAAGTGTTAAAATGTATACAAACACTGCTTAAAAATGTGACTCCTGTAAAATCTTAAGCTTTGTTATTAGAGTACACATTCATTTAAAAAAATCATCATATAAAATAATTCTCAAAGCTATTAAAAAAGTACACAGTCTATATTTGAATAGTTCAATGACTACACATTATAAGAGTGATGAGATGATATAAAGAAAAGTAAGGCTTTTACACACAACTCTTATTTTAGGAACAAAATTCTGAATCTGATCACTAAGCCAGAGAAAAGACATCTGCAGTGTCAAAATTCATTCAATGATGCAGGTATGCCCAGATATAGGTTACGTTACATTTCAAACAGTTAAATCAGGTACCTGCTTTGTGCTGGGAAAGATTCAGATACTTTCTAGTGACAGGCTTCTGAATTACCTACTTCAAAGAACAATTTCATTTAGCCATTACACATCAACTTTAGAGAGCATGAAGGGAAAAACAGTAGCCATTTATTTTTGCAGTCAATGCATTTAACACTCCTTTCATGGCACATTTGTGTCACTGTCCAAATGGCATTTTCCATCCTTAAAAACTGCTGAAGAAAAAGGAAATTAAAACCCCCACTATGGATTGGTCTACAAGTGTGTTTAAACTCCTGTTTAATTAAATCAGTCTCTAAAATGACTGTATTCAGTCTGTGCAACAGAGAGTGAGTGTAGACACCTGTCTTCACTTCAGAAAAATCTGTCTTGGTTTTCCTGACATTGGCAACTTACAGCAAAAAGTTCAGAATTTGGATCACCAAAGAAAGTATCCTGACCAAAGACAAGCAATGCTTAAGTTAAATTTGTACAGTAAGAATGTAGATTAGAGTGTTTATATCACCCCCCTCCCTCTCCAAAGGTACATTATTTCTTATATCATGTTAATTTCAGTGAATTTACCAAAGTTTCTATAGCATAAAACTGCACAGCAAGGTAAAAAAAAAAAAAGATGTAGTAGTTTAATCCAAGGAAGCACTGACTGAACTATGATTTTATGCTGAAGTAACCTTCAGAACTATAGCGGAATAAAACAATGTAATGTTTTTTTCCTAGCAAAAAGATTTTGGCCCAAAATGAAGCAAAATATTTAATATTTTTTTTCTTGAATAAACTGAAGAATACCTGGATTTAACCATCCAAAAGCTGAATGCATAAAATGATAGAGCACCACAAGTCAGAAAAGCTATAGAATTCACAGTGGGGAAAAAAGGAGCATAATGAAATTCAGCATAAACTCAGCATATTTCCTTAAGCTGCTGCTGTGTTTCTGGTTTGTTTCAGCTAACTTCAGCTGTTGTCCACAGCACCAGGGCACAGCAATGAGGCTCCATAGTGTTTGAAGGCAACTTGTTCCTGCTTGTCACTAAAACTCCATAAATTTAAAACCTGCAACAAGTGTGAAGGGAGCAGAGAGGTCCAAGAGCAGAGGCAATTGCTTGGCTGATGATGCCCCTCACAAGCTGGGCTTGTGCAAACCTCTCTTGTTTACAGTGCTGTTTTACGCTGTTTTAGTGTGCGGCAGCCACACTGGAGAGCTACAAACCCATGCCTATATCTTTTCCCCCAAAAGCCCCATGATCTTGGTGAGAAAATGCACTTCCTCTAACATTCCTGCATTTACTGTATAGATATAAAACCAGCACTCGCCCATTATTTTTAAAAGATTCACAGTCCCATATTGTTACATGCTCACTGTTTTAAATTTACTGAACACGATTCTTCGTAAAGATCTCTCTGCCCTCACAAGGGATGGGGACATGCTCATTAATGCAAAAATACCTGGTGGGCTCTTATAAAAGGCAACAATGCCAATGTCACAGAGTGTAAGCAGTGGTGAGGGAAGCACGTCTAGAGGTCCTTTGTGTTTCCCCTGTGCCAAAAAACAAAGGAGGACAAAACAAGGTAGGAGAGAAAATGCTCTTTAAGCAACTACAAGGTGTTTGATCAGGTAGACCAGTGAAACATCACAGTGGAAACCAGTGTGGGGAAGCCACACCAGGGATGCTTATTTTTTAAAGATGGCACCATAAGTTGGTCTTCCTTCTCTGTGAGCAAGCATTTGCAGTACAGCTCTGTGGCATTTTCTGAGGTGATGGTGCTACAGCACCCACGTTTGCACTTATGGAAGGAGGACTGACTGCCATACAATAAGGATACAGCAAAGAAAAGATTTTGGCTGTGAGGGCAGTCCAGTAAATTAAAAATATAATTCATTTTGTTAACGTCTCATATCTGGTTCTGCACAGTAAGTAGGTATATTTAGCACTTGTTAGATGAAACTTTATAATTTGCCCTGTTCTGTACAATAGCTATGCTGATTATTCTGACAAATTTTTGAGGGAGTAATACTAAATAATCCTGCTGTTGGTAGTTGAGCAATGCAGTTACTATTTTTCTTCTTTGTGAAAATCAGAGTTAAAAGTGAATGGTTGCAGGCCAAAGTGATATTCTTTTTTTTCCTTTGGAACTTGAGAATTTCCTGCTTTTTGATTCACTAGTCAAAGAAAGCTAATCAACTCCCTTCCTTTACAAACATGTCATAGCTAACACAGTGTACAGCAGAGAGAGACCTGTTTGATTGCACTGTTCAGACTTTCAATGTTTTGATAACAGGGCACCAAACATAAGGAAAAATAGATTAGTTCTGTGTAGGTTATCTATTCCTCAGAAAATTAAGTAACAATGTTATTAACTTCAAGAATAAAAGCTGCCACCATACATAACATTAAAAAGAAATTGGTATGTAGTATATCCAGAGTCTAAGGCTAATATAAGTAAAACCTATTCATTTTGGCATGTACCAAAATGACTTATGGACATAACTATCCATACAGCACAGAAGTACAGTTATTAGATTATCTGGACATAATTTCTGTCAGTAAGAATCTTAAGATCATCAGAAATCCCTAAAAGAAGGCTAAGTCCTATGTAAAACACATATTCTTTGTTTCTGAAGAAGGAAATAATCATTCCAAAAGATCCTTTCAATAATGCTTCCCAAAGAGTAGAGTGAGAGAAAAAGGATTCTGTGATTATACTTACATTACAATTGAAGATGAAATAGTCATTAATGTTGTTTGTGTTCTTTTGCTTTTCTGGCAAAAGTCTTTTTGTTTAAGTCAAAATACAAAAAATACTTTCCACCACAACCACGCAGTTATTCCTTTCAATGTTTCTTTGAGCTGTTTGCTTTTTTACTGAATGGACATGAGTAGGATATAGCTGTTCTTTTGTGTACACACGTTCCTGCCGAACTTACTCTAAAAGAAAGAGTACAATTGTGTGGGAAAAAACAAACCAAAACAAAAAACTGAAAAAACCCATTAAGCTCCTGCCACTTGGAAAATCTGAAATGGAAGTCTTGGAAAATATGGAAAATAATGTTTTAAATATATTAGCAATTGGGCAGATTTTTAGAAGTGCCTTAGAGAATATTCTCATTGTGTGTAATGAATGAAAATTTTAAACTGTCTCCATATGCAATCTGTAGTCAGGCTTTTTTGCAGGCATTACCACTTCTTCTGGGGTACAGTCTTTCAAACATTAAGTAAAAAATGCTGATATCCTCTTCTTTTTGTCAGAACACTTCCTCTACTTTCTTAACAGCAATAAATTGTGAATCAGTGACTTTGATTCAGATATCAGTGAAACACTTAACAGATAATGTCTGTATTCCTGAATGCTATCTTTGTTGCAGAAAGGTGATCCCCCTCTATGCTTGCTTTCAGTGTGATGTGTGAGTGCTGCACAACCTCCCTTGCCTTTCTCTGGATCTTCTGTATTGTGCAGACTGGAGGAAGGCAGCATGCCCATCTTACACCTTCCTGATAATCCTTTAGTTTCTCCTCCTAAATGGGTTAAAATATGTTTGTTTTTCTCTAAAGGAATGAGACATTTCCCTCTGCAGACAGTGTGCGCATGGGAGTCTGGCATTAAAAGTACATCCAGTAGCTTAATGGGTTTGGCTGTGTGTACATCCATCTCTGACTGCGCTGACTTCACAGTCACTGTAAGGCCCCTGTACAGCTGGAGGCCTGTAACAGAGCCTGCATATGAGCAAGCATTAAAGTCTACTGCACTTAATGACTGCACAGCTTGGAGTAGCAATTACTTCATTCTGGGAGTGTGTGAAAATCTTACAAAGCCATGGGGAAACACTGCATTGTTCAACTGGCCGCTCTGTACATACGTGAACAATAGAGGCTGTTCCACAATGCCAGGTTTGATAGTTAAATAAAGTCATTAAAAAAAATTACAGTCCAGCATATATGGCATAAGAGACCACTGACAAATTCTGACAGTCACACCAACAACAATGCATTATATTTCTGCCTAAGTATGTCCCTTGCACCTTCATGAGCTAAGCCTTTGCTTTTTTCTGTAACTATTTGCAAAGCAGTAATAAATACTCAGGCTCAGAAAAGAAGTATTTCTCATGCCTGCTACTTAATTACAATTTATAGACTCAAGACTAGATTGGTCTAAGATAACGTTTTTTCAAGTATTCTCTTCTTGTTTATAGTACGACAGTAGTACCTTATTGCACATTGTTTCTGAGGGACTTACTTCTACAAGTGTGAGAAATTATTTCGTTTGGGGCACTTGACAGCTTTGAACCCTGGCAAAATGACTTTCCCCTTCCGATACAGATCATCCTGTAAACCTTTGTTCATCCTCTGCACCAAGAGCTTCTCGTAGAGCAGTGGGTGGTAGGCCCCTAAGGTACAAGCTGCATCGTAGTAGAGTTCGTGGTAGTGACATAGGTCGGTCTGCCGGACTGAAGGGATGTATTCGTACACGTGTACTTCATTACACATGGACATCATGATGAGGATACCTGGAGCAAGAAGTGAAAACAAAAGTGAACCTCAGGTTTCATTTTCCTTGCAGAATTTTCCTGCAGTCATCCAATCCCTTTTTCGTTTCCCGCTTTCCTTTGTTGTTACACACCTTAAGTACTAACTCTGTAAAACCATTAAGAGAAACAATAGTTCTTTTTATCAGAGCGGCTTTCACTTGTTTCTCATACATAAAGATTTCAATCCCTGTAGAGTCAACAGGACTCTACAGTCCTAAAGAAAGGACAGCAGTATAAAGAAAGAGTAAAAAGCCTATAAGGATTTGCATTTTACCATCAGCCTTCTGAGTGGTAGACTGCTCTTTCCCACCTCCCTCCATTTACCTTATGTACTGTCCACAAAACATCCCACACAAGAATCCTTGAAACATCTCCACCTTATTACAATGTTGGTCTTTCTTAGTCTGGACTTGAATCAATTCCACTTTTTCCATTCACTTGATTCTCTCTAAATACATGCAGAAGGGCATATAAAGAAACATCACCCATATAGTAGTGGCACAGAAGCCCACAGCTTCTGACAATTCTGTGAAAAGTATCACAGAGAGATGGCAAAGAAGGCGAATTCCTACTTAGAGCAGTGCTGTCACAACGAAAAACCCCTGACCACCTCCTGCTCAGCAAGGAGAAATTCACAAAATGACAGCACATATTTATTTCCTGCCACATATCAATGGTTGAGTATCATCAGCACTGTCAATTGCGGTCTTTATAGCTTTGAAACAAGAAATCTGTTACAGCTGTATGTTTTCAAATGGACTAATACCAGATACTGATCAACAGCATTGCCTATGCAATACTTTCAAATCAATCACAACTTCTGGAAGCCTTTTCTGTTTCACACAGCCACGTGCAAGGAAAATAACATGATAAGTCTTGAACACCTTTTTTTTTTTTTTTTTTGAAGATTTCACTTAAAAAATAAATTTGTAAGGAAAATGTATTGGAACGCTTGTTGCTCTACTGGTATCCCTTATCTGCTGAAGATGACTGTCAGCTCTCAGAGGAGGTAGCTGTATAATTCTGCTCACCTGGCACTTAGAAATGAGTAACTCTTGTTACATCAAAGGTGTTTTGGGTAGATCACAGAATATTCTGAGTTGGAAGGGACCCACAAGGATCATCGAGTCCCACTCTTAGCCTTGCACAGGACCATGCCCAAGAATAACATCCAAACTCTTCTTGAACTCTGTCAGGCTTGGTGCTGTGACCACTTCCCTCGGGAGCCTGTTCCAGTGCCCAACCACCGTCTGGGTGAAGAACCTTTTTCTAATATCCAACCTAAACCTCTCCTCACACAACATCAGGCCATTCCCTTGGGTCCTGTCACTGGTAACGACAGAGAAGAGATCACTGCCTGTCCCTCCTCTTCCCCTCACAAGGAAGCTGTAACTGCAATGAGGTCTGCCCTCACGTCTCCTCTTCTCCAGGCTGAACAGACCAAGTGACCTCAGCCACTCCTCATATGTCTTCCCCTCAAGGCCCTTCACCATCTTCATTGCCCTCCTTTGGACACTCTCTAAGAGCTTAATACCTTTCTTATATTGTGGTGCCAAAAACTGCCACAATATTCAAGGTGAGGCCGCACCAGTGCAGAGCAGAGCAGGACAATCCTCTCCCTTGACCAGCTGGTGATGCCCCCCAGGACATGGTTGGCCCTCCTGGCTGCCAGGGCACTGCTGACTCATATTCAACTTGACATCAACCAGGACCCCCAGGTCCCTTTCCATGGCACTGCTTTCTGGCATCTCATTCCCCAGCCTGTATGTATATCCAGGGTTGCCCCATTCCAGGTGCAGAATCCAGCACTTCCCCTTGTTGAACTTCATATGGTTGGGACTGCCCAGCCCTCTAATTTGTTGGTCTCTCTGCAGGGCCTCCCTGCCTTCGAGGGAGTCAACAGCTCCTCCCACTTTTGTGCCACTTTCAGACTTGCTTGGTATCCCTTCCAGTCCTGCATCCAAGTCATTTATGAAGATGGTGAAGAGCACAGGGCCCAAGATGGAACCCTGTGGGACCCCACTAGTGACAGTTCACCAGTGTGATGTTTCCCCATTCACTGTTACTCTCTGTGCTCAGCTTGTGAGCCAATCGCTCACACTGCAAGATGTGTTTATCTCAGAAGTGAAATGAATTAACAAAAAATTATTTTGGTTTGTTAATTAAGTAGAGTCATTTTCTGATGTTTAGTTTGTAGTTTGGGAACACAGAGATTTCAATGGCTTGCTAATGAAAAGAACCCTGTGCTCTCCCTGCTGTGTATCATTAGATTATCAAAATGATTTTTTCCCTGCCTGATGTGTGAAGTAACTGAAAACCAATTACTTCTGTGATTAAATCTTCTTTTATCAGAAATTAAAGGTTCTGAAAATCTTTTATATTGTTCTACAGCTTTACCCTTTACAGAATCTATGGTCTTAGAAGAGCTAAATGTATCAATTTTAAAGAAGTTCACAAATTTAAGTGAACTTTAGTCTTGAACAGCAAGAAACACTTATTCGTGGTGAAAAAATATTTAATCCTTATTTGAGAAAAAAGTAAAAGCTTAATAAACCATGTTTCCTTGCCTTGAAGCTGTTATAGAGATGCTATGAATTGTAGCCTGCCAAGCACCTATGTCTCAAATTGGTTTTCTTTTGTTTCAGTTTTACAAATGCTTTCGTCAGCTTTTCCACTGCCAACCTCCTTCCTCCACTAATGGAGAGCCCCCCTGCCACTCCAAGGTAACTGTTATCCAGCTGAATCAAAGGATAGATGGTGGAAATGTGTGCAATAATGAACCACATCCAGAAAGAGACAGTAAAGTGACTTCTCTCCTGCACCCAGAGCCAAGCCTGGAGCCAATTTCAAAAGCTATACCACCAGAGTCTTAGGAAAACTGGCTCTGATGGAAAGTACAAGCCTTAACCAAAATGTGTTTTATTTCACTGCCACATCACCAAGCTTACTTTAAAAGTAATAAAGGAAGTTCCCATTTGTGGGATTGGAAAACTGTCAAGAACAAAAATTGTGACTCTTTTCTAATCTCCTTAATAACAGCAAAGATAGCCACATAACTGCCAGATATGGTTCCATGATGACAAAATTTTAAGCAGTATCAATTACTTTCCTGTAAATTAATTAAAGGAGGACTTACAAGTAGTAGAGTTTTAGTTTTTAGTGATCTTTGGTTCAGTGTCCTCTAGAATCAATCTAAAAGGCACGCTGGGCTATCTGGCTTAGCTCCTTACCTTTCCTGCCTTTTTCCATCTAATCCATGTCTTGGGATTTCATATTATGTTACTCATAAATAACTGTAACTTCTGACAGTCCACTCACATTTTCACTCACGCTGGACAGTGATGTTTGGCAGGAGGAAAGACTGTGACTTGACAAGCTAGTTTCTGAGTGGTAACAGCTAACTTATAGCAAGCACATTCTTGTGTTGAAGTCTAGGGTCAGCAAACTGAAAGATGAGCTATGACAACATATAGAGATAACCACCTACAGAATGTGTCCCTGTGCTGGAGGCTTATCTGTCCTGGTGGAAACAGGAACACTCCTGATACTTCCAGACCTCATGCACACATCAAATGCTCAAACCCTATTCTGGGGAAAAATGGTGGTCAGTGCCAGACACTTTCTCCTTTAGCCCCTCTAACACCAGTGACCTTCAGCCAAGGAGTCCAGAAGTGTGATACAGCCAACCGTCCAAACCATCTGTGGGTGATATCCCAGGGCATGCAGGATTACACACTTAATCTACATGAACCCAAGGAGGTAGGTCCCTCCACTTAACTGTCATAGCCTCCAGATTCTCCCTCAGAATGATCTGCTCCTACTGTTTTGCACTACGTTAAAAAAGAAGAGGGGGTAGAGAATGAAAAAAGAAATTAAAAGGTTCTTTTTGGAAAGGAAGCCATCTTCTTTGTATGAATACAGTCCTCTCTAAAAACAGGGATGAAATGGGTTAATTTCTGTCTCATGTCTTGAAGGATGTGAATCCCCCTCCACACAGTCTTAGTGTTGTAGAGCTATTACTGCAAACTCAGTTTACAAAAAAAATTAATTGAGCATCTTTAAAAGAATAGCACCAGTTTAGACATTAGGACATTTACATTAGTTCATGTACTAGGATATATTCAGTTTTCATTCTATTTTCTTTCTAATATGATGTCTAGCTTGTTTTTCTTAATTCCCTAAAACAGGGCTGGCAACAGAGCTCCCCACTACAGGTCTCACATTCCATCCCATGTGTTTTCATACCACTCTTTATCCCAATTTCTCTCTGCTTGGTTTCAACAACATCACAGTGATTTACTGACACCTGTATCCAGCAGGTATAAGTGTGCCAAGCCGTCTGTATTTTCATCTACCTCACAACTCATTTTTCCCATATTCCCTTCTCTCCTTAAGATCACCTTCAGTGATCTTAAGATTTTTTTAAATCGCCTATAGCTTTTTGGCACTTAAATAACCCCCAAATTTTTTTTTTACATTATGTTCGAACTTTTATTTGTTGGGTGCAGTCTCAAAGATAAAGAAGAGGTATGTGCCTGACTGTTTACTGACTTAATCTTGGTTCTGTTAACCCATTTTGCTTGCCCATCTATTCTGAGAAGTCCTACGTTACCTTCTATTTGTTATCTTTACACATCTCTTCCTGTGCTATTGCTTCCTAGGTTTTTCTTCTGTTGTTGAATTTCTTAGCATTTTCTCCCACACATATTAACCTGTAGTGTCCTAGTGTGCCTTGTTTTATTTTCTTTCCCTGTACTGCCCATGGAGTACATGTCTATATACTTATTTCTGTTGTCTGTGTACTTTCACATCAATGTCCAATTTAACATCATCTGGAAGTCTCTTTCATATCTCAAGACTCCTCCAGGATTATCGGTATGAAATGGGAACAGCACTGTTTGATAGCCTGTATGGTGAACAATTTCCATATTTCCATTTCCACTTCAATATTTGCCTTTGTTAACAGTCCTTATGTTAAT